CATTAAATAACTAAATTCCTATTGTGGTTATTAATTGAAATTGTCTTTAAGCAGAAAGTTATTTGTGACTATAAGCATTGTGCTTAGAGAATATGTGTTTTTATCTGTCAGTATGGGAGGACATAAACTGTTTGCATCATTTAAAAAAAAAAAAAACAACCTCAAAAAGATTACATAATGAGCCCAAAGTTACAGAACTGGTAGATGTTAAAATTGAGACTAGAACCCAGGACTATAAAGAACTAAAACTTGTGCCATATACTTTTCATATATTTTTTGCTACCTGTAACTTCTAACACTGAATATATTATTAAAGTAGTATCATTCACACAACAAACCTGAGTGCTTACTACATATCTTTGATATAGCTGATAGCTGTTTGTTTGGGGGCTTATTTGTTTGTGTTCGTTTTCTTTCTCTCTCTCTCTCTCTCTCTCTCTCTCTCTCTCTCTCTCTCTCTCTCTTTCTGTATCAGGGATTGAACCCAGGGGCACTTAAACACTGAGCCACATCCCCAGCTCTTCGTATTTTTATTTTCAGACAGGGTCTCACTAAGTGTCTTAGGACCTCACTAAATTGCTGAAGCTGGCTTTGAACTTTTTGAACTTTCAATCAATCCTCCTGCCTCAGTCTTCAGAGCCCTAGGATTATAGGCTTGTGCCATCACACCCGGCTAGATAAACTTTTAACAGTCACTTCCTCTACTATTTCTACAACTGGAAAGCTGCACAGTATGCATTTTTTTCTTTACTTCCTCTCATTAAATGTCAAATTTAATTACATTACGATTATTATCAGGTAGTTCTTCAGCCACAGCCATTTCCTGCCTCAGTTCCTGTTCATTACTCAGAATGAAGTCCAATAAATTTTTTTTCTTATTGCTTTAAAGCTACCTGTTTTAGGATATAGTGAGTTATTCTCAACTGAAAAAACTCACTTCTATTGTGTCATTTTCACTATTTATATAAGATTTTAACAAGCCGGACAAAAAATGCAGAAGGCTAAATGTCATTTAATAGTTTCGAATTCAGTCATATGATTCCTGACATCAAGTGATGTTTCACATTTACAAATTCAATGCAAGTAGTTTTCTCAAATTTTCAAGAGCAGGCCCAATTGAAAACATTCTATCCCACAAGCAGGTCTCAAACTAGGCTTAAGAAGATAAGTCAACATATATGCAAAAGAGAGTTTGCAATATCAACTCTATTTGGCTACAAAATAGGTAAAGAGGTGAAGGGATGACAACAGTCACTTTGAGATTCTTCTTATATCAACCATCACAAAATATGTCCCACAAATTAAGTGCAAATGCCTCTAGTAGCCAGGCATTGTGGTGCACATCTGTAATCCCAACTACTCAGAAGACTGAGGCAGAAGGATTATAATCTGAGGCCAGCCTGGGTAACTTAGACCTTTTTCAAAATTAAAAAAATAAATAAAAAAGGCTAGGCAAGTAGCTCAGAGAAGGCTCTTGGGTTCATTCCTTAGTGCTCATTCCTTAGTCCTGGGGGAGAGGGGACCCTATGGTAGTGTTTTGTTTTGTTAGTTGTCTTTTACAGAGCGAATAGAATATCTCAATGAATAATAAAACAATTGCTCTGGGGACATGTTTGGAAATAAGAGATTTAATTGGCTTTTGGAAAATAAGCATTGAAAGACAGATAGTAAACAAAAATGTAGAAAAAGTATCTATAGTTTTAGTATTTAAATATGCAATTTGCAACTACCAAAATTGGGTAATATTAACTTTGCCCAGTCACATTTACATATAATTACTATTTAAAGTTGGTCTTCTCAACTCTTTTTTATATGAAGCCACAATTACTTACCATTCCTTCAATAATCTATATCCCTATTCTGAGACTCTACCTTCTCTTGTTCTATCTGTATTGAACAATTTCTTTTCCCATTTATGAAAACAACCTTTAAACCAAGCTCCAATGGTAGCTCCTCCCTGAACCTCCCAACCCAATCTTTCTTAAAATTCTTATTTTTTCTTTATTTTTATTTTGTTTATTATGTGTACTTTAATTTTATTTAATGCTTAATATCCCCTTTGAAGTATCATCTTCTCCACTAAACAGATAAGGAGAATGAGGCTGAAAGATACTTGGTATAATGTTCAAAACTACAAAGCCCAACAGGTATTCAAACTCTAGTTTATACTTTAACTATATTCTCTTTCCATAAAACCACCAATTCTGAATTACTCTCTTATAGTATATATTGTACTGTATGATGATCACTTGTTTAAATATCTATCTTCCCACTAAATGATGCTCCTCAAAGACAGGGAAGGTGACTAGATCCTGTTATCTTAAGCAACACTCAACAGTGCCTATTATAAAATGATTTCAAACTGTTATAAAATTGGTCCAATACTGGGTTCATTTCATGGTTTTGCAGCATGGTTTCCCACTGATTAGTCTCCTTCTAACAGGTCTCTAAGAAGCCACTGTACTGTGTTGGTAAAGCATAACCGCTTGGAATCAGATTGGTTAGATGTGAATCCACTGACCAATTGGCACCAAAATCTTAAAAAAAAAAAAAATGAGTTAACCTAAATCTTGGCTAACTAATCTAAAAACAGAAAGGAAATCATGGTAATCATGGTACCTATCTCATAGGATAGGGATTAAATGAGATAATAATTAGGTAGTCCCAACCATTTTCTGATCCTCATTTTTTCAACATGCCACCATAAATTCTCTTTGGCTCAGTCTAACCACACTTTTGTCATTACAAATTCCTTGCTTTTTTGTTGGGGGAAGGCTGGGTGGGGTGCTGGGGTATCAAATCAGGACCACATGCCAAATCACATCGCCAGCCCAAGTTCCTTGCAATTATGCATTTAATGGACTAACCAAAAAGGTTTGTGGTTTAAAACTTAATCAGGATACCTTTTTTATTTTTAGAGCCAACCATCCAGTGCCAATTTGGGACTGACTCCTGAGGCCTAAGTATTCAAGAGTGCCCCCATTGTACACTATATTTGCTTTGCTTACCACATTTTCATGCTCTGCCAGAAAGCGGTAAAAATCAGAAGACAAAAACACTCCCAACATTTAAATTAATACTATGAAGCATACAAACAACTTCCCTGCGTAGGAGGTAGGCTTTTCCAGAGCAAAACATTTTCCAGGAACCACCTTGTTTCTACTCCCAGTCCTCTAGATTCCTTTCCTCTGGAATCGGCAGGCTGAGCCACTATCGACAAGTCATATCAATTTCCTTCTCTTAAAATTAGTAGTCTGTACCCCAAATCCAAGTAAGGATTTCAAACTGTTGTTTTATGGCTCTTTAGGTTAAAAGTCCATAGTCTTCAAATTCTCAGAATTTCTCTTCCAACATTAAAAACGTTGTGGAAAAAGTCCGGTTTTGGAAAAAACTAATTTTACAAAAATGTCTAAGATCAAGTACTAAGAATATTGCAAAAGCGGGAGCGGTGTGTGTGGGGGAGGCATTTAAAAATGTTGGTAAAAGCAAATCAAAAACAATAAAAGTATCTCACCTAATCTCAAGGTAAGCAGAATATACCATTAACAAGGAAAGCAAATGTAATATCTCTAATACATTTACCATGAATTTTAAGATTACTTGGCATGTTAATTACATATTGAGATTACTAAACTGTTCCACACTCTTCTTCCCGGGTTGGTGTATGCTCATATAAAGCAGCTCCTTGGTTCTGCCAGGCTAAAAATAAAATGGGTAACAGAATGATCCCTGAAGTTCTACAAGATGTGCTGAGTTAGAAAGCCATGACTCAAGAACAATACTAGAACTCCAGCTGTCAACATTAGGCAAATAAAAACAGAACAAGGTGAAGCATGCTGATGGACCCCGGTATTGTTTCCAGAAGGGAAATATCCCTCAAGGCCTTTGCATAGGATTTCAGTACCCGCTCCGCAGTCAATGTTGGGATCAGAAAACTTAACTGTCGCCTGCTCAGCTGGTACTCTGCAGCAACCCTCCTTCTCCGCCAGCAATCAGCGCGCTGAGCCGCCCTCTCCCCCGAACCCGCCCCCCATTCCCGGCCGCTAGCTGACCTATCCAGCCCGCTCAGTCTGGGCAGCCCGAAACCCCTGCACACACTCCTAGGACACGACGACACCCCGCCACCCCCTGCACAGCGCCAAAGGAAGGAAGTGAAGGAGGGGATCCTGAGGAGGGAGCCGAGGGGCGGGAGGCGGCGCTGAGCTTCGGCCCGACACCTTCAAGCCTTGAGAACCGCACGGGCTCGGGAAGAGGAAACCTGAGCTTGTGCCACCCGCCAAATGATGCGAGGGGGCCGCGGCTGACCCGGACCCGCAGGTGCAGGAGACTGCCGAGGAAGACACCGGCGGCGAAGGGCGACGCGTTGACCCCGGAGCCCCTACATCCATCCCGCGGGCCGCTCTCCTCCCTCGTCCAGATCCATCCTCGGGATTCTGTCAGAAGCCGACTACCTCCACACCGCCCGCCCAAGCGTGGAGGTGGTGCGGTTCTTACCGTAGGAGCGGGCGTCGCGCCGCTAGGAGGCGGCTGGGGTGCGCTGGGGAGACACCGAGGCGAGCGCTGCCGCCGCCGCCGCCGCCGGAGCCCGAGGAGCCACAGCTAGGCTGCGGGCGGGCGCGCTGCCTCCAGAGCGTCGCCCCACCCCCTCTCCCGCAGGATTTTGCGCCGGAGCCTGCAGTGTCCCCGCGCCGAGACTGGGAGGGCCTAGGAGGCGGGGCCCCAGCCGGGGCGGGGCCGAGTGCTGCTGGCTTGATTGGCATGTGTGCGCCCAATGAGACTACGAAAAAAACTCCAGGCTGAGCTAAGACTGACTTTCCTCCCAACCCGTAGCAGTAAGAGGCGGGTCCAGTGGGTTCTTTCCTTACCGCCTCTTTGTCGAACTCGAAAGTAAGGAAAGGTCGGTTGGTTTACACTGACGGCTAAATGGTCCAATTACCGCAGGGAAACGGGTCTCTGCATCAGATTGGCGTCCCCTCTACCTATAGGGTAGGCCCAGGGGCGGTGAGAACCAGCTCCGGATGTGGGCGCGGCCTGAGGTAGAACTGAGAAAACCTCTACCGCGGCGGTTTAGAGAGGCGGAACTGAACCTCTTTCTGAATTATCATGTGACGGGTTCTGAGTTTAATGGGGGGGAAAGTGTGGAAAAGGACAAGAATCCAAACTGGCGAATTTACTGATCTTCGCGGCTCTCTCCGCTCTCCGGCCAGCGGCGCTGCCAGGTGAGTCGGAGCATGGCCCCCGCCCCCACCGTGCTGCGGTTCTGGACGCCCAATGTTCTGGGCTGCGCCGCCGACCTCCATTCCGTCACACTCGCGGACTCAAATGCGCACCACACCTGCTTGGCATCAGGGCTTTGTAGTGCATCATGCAAAAACTAAGTTAAATTTCAAAATGTGCTGGGCCCAAAGCCTAGAATGGGGGAGTTCAGATACGGCTGCACAAACCTATGGTCGGTGTCCACAGAGGAAGGACCAGGAGGGCTTAGTTCCTTAAGTTCTAGGGCGAAGTGGACCCGAATATCAACTAAGTTGTAAGCAGAATGCTGTTCCTCTGAAAGATGGCCAGGTTGGCCAAGAATGTTACAACACGAGCCTTTCGAAAGCAACTTAATATGATAGAAATTTGTGGGTTCATTAAGCCAAACTGTCTTTGAGATGAGGCAGGTTCATTTGAAAAAGTATTAGGAGTGGCAAGAGAAGGGAGATGAGCATGGTGTAGAAAACACCATAGAAGATTCCGCGCACAGCTGGTAGAGACGCAGGTAATGTAGTCGTGGCCCTTTAGATTAACCATATGTGGTCTAGTCTGAAGGTTTCAACAGTGGATAAGGAATCATTTGAGAAATATTTAACTATCTTACAGATACTAGAAATAACCACATTAAGTGGAAACTATGTTAAGCAAATTTTGGAGTGCACACTTGTCCATTGAGAAGAAAGGAAAATAGCAAGGAAATATGGCTGATTAGATTAATGAAGATGTAAATGTCAAGCTGGGGTCCTGTGTCACTGATGTAGGTGAGCATACACAATCCTTTTTTTTTTTTTAATTTCTTTTTTAGTTGCAGATGGACACAATATCTTTATTTTATTTATTTTTATGTGGTGCTGAGGATTGAACCCAGTGCCTCATACATGCTAGCAAGCACTCCTCCCCTGAGCCACAACCCCAGCTCAAGCATACACAATATTTCAAGCATCATTTATCAATAGGGTGCATCCACTATTGAGAATATTTCACTGAAAATGCATATGAACTTTGTTGTATCTCAGATTATAAAGCTTTGTAACCACAATAAGATTTTGCCCTTGATGTCCTTTCACTTCCAGTTCTTAAGTTTATTGGGTGAGTACAGTGCTCTTCCAATGATCAGTAGCTACTCAGTCCTTTATGGGGAGGGAGGGGGACATTATGACAAATGGGAAAGTTACATTTAAACAAGTATATTATCATAAACCTATTCTTAGGTTCACAAAAATGGCCAGATAGATTGGAGATCAAGATTAAGCAAACAGTTTACACAATGAAATCTATCCATAGTTATTAATCAGTCTACAGATTTCCACCTTCCAAATTCAGTCTCACTTTCCATTATATGGCAGCTTCTGGGAAGGGAGACCAGCATAGAAAATGCCTTCCTGGAAACAAGCACACTGCAGTAGGAAGCATTTGCAAACTAAATAAACAAGTGCAAGTAGATGAGTATATCTGGGGAAAGGTGAGTTAGGACACTCCTACCCATTGAAGTAAAAGAGTTGTTGCTGGGTGCTACAGTGCATACTTGTAATCCCAGCAGTTTGGGAGGGTGAAGCAGGAGGACAGCAACATCAAATGCCAGCCTCAGCAATTTAGCAAGTCCCTAGCAATTCTGGGAGACCCTGTCTCCAATAAAATACAAAAAGAGGCTGGGGATGTGGCTCAGTGGTTAAGTACCCCTGGGTTCAATTCCTGGTGCCAAAAAAAAAAAAAGTTGTATACTCTCTTGCTCCATTATTGCCACCCTATTTAAAGTTCTGTTTAAAGTAGAGATGTTGCAGGGCACATCAAAGTTTGCTCTAAAATATAATTGAGCACACTAATCTAGGGTATTTGGTCCATCTGGCCAATTTCTTTACCTCTTACTTGTTTCTTCCTGCACCTTTATTCCTACTCCCATCACCCATGCTTTTGTTCCATTCCCTACTACTTTCTGATGTTTCCATCAGGTCTTCTCATATTTAAGCTATCATTTCCCAGTGGCTTATATCCCCCAGTTTAGTCATACTTAGAATTCTCCTTTCCTAAAACTTTTTCCTGTCCCTTTCTCAGTCTCATGTCTTATTTTTCATTTTCTCTTTTCCAAATAGCTCAAGGGAATAAAATCTTCTCAACTGTTGCCATTTCTTTATCTTCTGTTAACTCCTCACCCAACTGCATACAGTCTGTCTTCTGATTTCTCATTCATTACTTACCCCTAGTCCAAATATTTGCAAGGTTGATATATAAAATCTTAAACAAATACAGAATCACACTTTAAACCTATATGTACATATGAAATATAATGTTTATATGTAGGGTGTAAGTTAATGAATTCTCAATCAAAATTCCAGGTTATTAAGCATTAGTGATTTTAGCATTGAAAAATGAAAGGGAAATAGAAAATATTCTGGAAGCTGGGCATGGTGGCACACACATGTAGTACCTGCTTAAAAAAAAAAATTAAAAAACAGGTACTGAGTCTTCCACGTACTAGAGTATATCCCAGAGCAATAATAGTAAGTCATGTAGTTTTAGTGTAAAATAAAAAAAATGGATCAGATACAAGCAGCAACTCTAATTATAATTCCCCATCAAGTAATTACAAAACATCTAAAGTTTTTAAGTTGCCCCTTTTAATAAGAAAATACCTAAGGGTTTAAAAATATAAAATTCATAGATTAAACTACATAAAAATCCAATGATATACCTTTCATATTGTTTAATCTAGTGACCTATTTACAATCTTAATTCTACTTGATGTTCTTAAAATACTTACTAACCATTTTGTCTTTTATAAACTCAGCTGGCCAGTTGGTGGTGCTTGCCTGTAATCCCAAGAGCTTGGGAGGCGGAAACAGGAGGATCATGAGTTCAAAGCCAGCCTCAGCAATGGCAAGGTGCTAAGCAACTCAGCGTGACCCCCTCTAAATAAAATATAAAATAGGGCTGAGGATGTGGCTCAGTGGTCGAGTCCCCTGAATTCAGTCCCCGGTACCCATAAAAAAACAAAACAAAATGTTACCTCCCTTTTCACCACTTTGGTTTTAAATGTTTCATCTTAGTACCCCTTGAAATTGAATGAAAAACTGTAGGTTTTCAAATTTTAGTAATGAGGTATAAGAAATGATGGATGTATATCAATGATTCTCCCAAGAAGTTTTGAAATGAAAAATAGAACATTTTCAAAATTAGGAAGTCTTTGAGTAGCAAAAAGTCAACCTTGTTTATTAAGAATGAAAGTAAGCCTGAGGCTGTATCTCAGTGGCAGAGAGCTTACCTAGCATGCCTGAGGCACTAGGCTCAATCCTCAGCACCACATAAAAATAAACAAATAAAGACATTCTGTCCATCTACAACTACAAAAAAAAAAAATTTAAATATTAAAAAAAAAAAAGAATGGAAGTAGTTGGTTTCTTTTCCTGGCATCAAAACCTTGACTTTTTTTTTTTCTCCTCTCCTCTCAGGGCATATTTTCCTTTTTTCAACCCTGCAACAGCCTCTTTAAACTGTTTAAATGAGAATGTCCTTGGCTCAGAGAGTACTGCTTACCTGGCTCTTCACCTTACTCTTCTTGATCATGTTGGTGTTGAAACTGGATGAGAAGGCACCTTGGAACTGGTTCCTCATATTTATTCCTGTCTGGATATTTGACACTATCCTCCTTGTCATGTTGATTGTGAAAATGGCTGGGCGCTGTAAGTCTGGCTTTGACCCTCGACATGGATCACACAATATTAAAAAAAAAGCCTGGTACCTCATTGCGATGTTACTTAAATTAGCCTTCTGCCTGGCACTCTGTGCTAAACTGGAACAGTTTACTACAATGAATCTGTCTTATGTTTTTATTCCCTTATGGGCCTTACTGGCTGGGGCTTTAACAGAACTTGGATATAATGTCTTTTTTGTGAGAGACTGACTTCTAAGAACATCATCTCATTTCTATTGCTGTTCAACAACCTTTAAAGTGTTCTGAATCTTTGCAAGCTTCAATACCAGAGAACTGAGGGAAAATACCAAATGTAATTTTGTACTGCTTCTATAAAACAGGATTGATGAATCATGGACTTCTAGTTAACCCAAAACTGAAGTATTCAATATTTGAGTTGTTGATATCCTTATTATCCCTATGTAAATAAAGTTTGTTTTTGACCTCATTTTTCCAAATGACTCTTGAATAAACTGTAAATACAGAGCTGGGGTTATAGCTCAGTGATAGAGCATTTGCCTAGCACATGTAAGGCACTGGGTTCAATCCTTAGAGCCACATAAAAATAAATAAAGGTATTGTGTCCATCTACAACTAAAAAAAAAAAAAAGTAAATACAGATCTTTTAATCTATATCTTTGGATAGAAATTTGTCATGGCTCTGATATGACCAAACTAAATGGTATTTATGCATTTAAATTATGAAAGAAAAAAGTGACTCAAGTGAATAGGGGTGACACTTCATGTTTATATTCAAAAAGAATCTTGAGGGCTGGGGATATGGCTCAAGCGGTAGCACGCTTGCCTGGCATGCGTGCGGCCCGGGTTCAATCCTCAGCACCACATACAAACAAAGATGTTGTGTCCGCCGATAACTAAAAAATAAATAAGAATCTTGAGAGTTTGACAGATTTTTATCTAGGCTAAGTTTACTGTTAACTATACCTTCTGTTTGAGACAAATGAACTAGAGATGGCATGTTAGAACAAAAGTTTGTGTATTCCTAAATTTAGGGAGATCTTACATCCTGGTTCTCTCAGGACAGATCCAGTTTATGCCTATCATCTTGGGGTCCCAGGGAGTTCCTGCCCTGTTCACTTCTAGAAGTGTCTTGGTTTGAGAAATTATATGATCACAGGATACTTAACCAATTCCAATAAAGCAGAGATGGCAGTACTTTAAAATAAATTCCCAAGACACCGAAGCATCTCATAACCCTAAAGCAGGATTACTGTTTCAGTTGAGAGATCCAAATTAAGTAAATTAAAAATAAAGCTTACATCTCTGTAAGAAACCAGTAAAAAAAAACTGTCCATGCAAGTATTATCTAATTATAAGCTCTCACAGGGGAAAGAAGAGGCAGCACCACTTAAAATCAGAACAGGAGTCAGCAAAATTTTTCTATAAAGGGCCATATAATTTGTTAGTACCCAACTCAGCCCTTGTGGCAGAGAAAGCAGCCATGGCTGTGTTCCAACAGAACTTCATGGACATGAAATTTAAGTTTCATTTAATTGTCATATATCACAAAATACTATTCTTTTGATTTTTGTTTCAATCACTTAAAATTAACTATTCTTGCCCTACAAGCCATATAAAAACATACTGACCCCTAAGCTAAGACAGAAAAGCAGAACTTCTGTATGAAAGGTAGAAAAGGTCTTTTCCTCCTGCAAACAGTTCTAAAAGGAAGGAAGACATTAGTAGGGATTATACATAAAAGGCAACACAATAACCAATCTGTGTACACATGAGGATCAATCAATTTTAATGGCATCTGAAGGGCTCCCAGAAAATAGAACCCTTCTCTAATTTAATTTGGTATACTGCCACACTAAATGACTTGAAGAAGCACAATAAGTTCTCATTGGTGTGTGCCTAAGTAACAATACATTTAAACATTAATGAAAGATACTAAAGATAGAAATTATGCATACAGGTGACAAATGAGATAATAAACAATATTGCAGAGAAAAATGCCTTTTTAGGTTTCTTTCAGAGGATACTTCCTTTATGATACAGGTATTTGCTAATGGCATCTCTAAGATAAATACATTCTGCTTGAAAGAACTTAAAGGCTCTTGCTGAGGTCATTATTTTCCAGGTTAGCAAGGATATGTAAATTATGGACATACAACTTCTCTGGTTTGGGCAAAAGACTTGTTATAATTTCTGAGTAAAAGTAACTTATGAACAAAATAACTTTTTAGAAGACTTGAAAATATGAAAAAAGAGATGTTCAAAGGATCCACAACTTATTCAGTAACATATCATGAACATAAGGCCCAATATGGCAGGCTCAGCCAGCTGTATGAAACATGAACTGAAATCCATCAATGGAGAATTTTCAGGCATCAAGAAACACACTTGTACAAAGCTTTAAGAAGTAGAGATCTATCCTTGGGTTACAGCAAAAATTATTAAGCTTACAAATTTGATCTGTTTTCCACTTTGCTTTTTCACAGTGCAGCAATACAAGGAACTGATTGATGTTGACTAATGAACGAACATAAGTGATAGCCAAAGTAGAGGAAACCTTACATTTCATACTAGGGCAGGCAGGCATATCACTAAGCACCTGAGTCATCAAGAAAAGCAGCTGTTTCTCTTTATTGAAAGAAAAATTACTTTTTATCAATCTGTTAAGAAGCAAGTCAAAAATGTCAGTTTCTTTTAATGTTGACTGATCGTGTTTGCAGAGAAAATATCACCTGAGCATGAATTATCATTGGTGTCCTTATACTTCATGACTTAAATATTTAAGATGCATAGAAGTTACACTGTGTTATAACTAGGGGGTTGGTTGGGAAACACCTACTCATTATAATAATGTAGACATAAAGCCAAGGAAAGAGTTTTAACTCCAAGTCTGTTTCTACAAATAGGTGTTTTATTGAAGGAAGAAAACAAGAGAAGATGTTCATTATCAAATACTAGGTAAAGATAATACAGGGTTAAGAGTTTTATGAGGGAACTTCCTCATGTTTTAATGTTTTACTCATTTCACTTAGTCAATCATACTATACTATACCATAAAGCAGTTTACTACCACTATCATCTATATACTACAATCATAAACTTGTGTTTCACCTATTATCAGGATAGGTAATCTGTGACATGATTTTGTTTTGTTTTGTTTCTGTGGTGCTGGGGATTGAACCCAGGGCCTTATACATGTGAGGCAAGCAACCAACTAAGTTATATCCCCAGACCTATGACATGATTTTGAATTGCCAGCCCTGAGCAAAATAGTGACCAGTAAGTTATTTTTTAATGTCAACCTGCCTCCAACATACCTTGTTTTGACCCACTCATGCAATTTTTTTCTTCCCATATGCCTATCCTCTGCTCAAAATTAGAGGGAGACAGAATTTGAAAAGTGTGAAAGGATTAGGGTAGCCTTGCACATGGTTCTTCTATTCTTTGAGCTATTTTCAATACAAGAAGAAGTTAACATTATATAATAGAGTGTCTATAATCAGTCACGCAATGTGCTGTTTTGGGCACATTTGTTTGTTATTTAGCATGTTTTGTCATTTAATTTTCATCGCTAGTTAATAGAAAAGGTATTATATTCCCATTTAGAGATGAGGAACACAGACTAAGTGAAGTAATTTTCTCAAGGTTATACAAGTGCATTATTCCTTTCTAATAAACATGTATTGAACCACACCTATAATGCTACAAATGAGTTCAGCCTAGAAACCCAATGAAGTGGCTTTACAGGATTTTCTATGAAAATGTGCCACTTTTATGTCCTTGTCCCATTCCTACAACAATAGATACAGGCTAAATAATGTAGTGTAGGTTACCTTTATGCTTATCCAATTTTTTAATTTTTTTTTTTTATAATAGCAGTAAGGAGAACCACACAGCTTAAACAGAATGCCTTTGATAAACAGATTTTATTTTACCAATTAAGACTTATAATCTGCCTCAGGCTATGAGATAGTGAAGTACTACTTATATGACATTTGCCATTTTAATCATTTTAGGCATCGTTAAAATTTATTTTTAATGTGTGATAACTTTCAATAGATCTCCAGAAAAGCTAGTTGAAGGGAAAATTTGAGGATAAGTTTCACAATGTTTAATTCTCCTACACATATCTCCTCTCTTCAAACTGCCCACTGAGCTTGAACATATAATAGCTAACTTCTCAAATTTTTCCATAAGACTGAGGTACAAAGTAAACATTTGGTTTCTTTCTAGAGCCTGCTTATCTAATTTTTGTGTTCCTTTAAAATTCTAGAATTACATTATAAAGTTAGGGACTGACTTGAAATTCTAGAAACCTACATAATGTATACTCTCTAACGTTCTTTTGTTCCTTCAAATCATTACAGAATATCAAGTATAATATATATCAGATATTAGAGATAAAAATAAAGAAAATTCCTGATGTCTAGCTCATGATTTAGCCAAAGTCCAACTTGTATCCAGTATGCATGTTAAATGGTGTGTGCAAAGGGGATCAAAAAGCCAAGAGAATTGGTTCTCTATCAGCTACTGTGAGTTAACAGTTGGGATAAAAGCAATAAAAACAATATACAGACGATGTTTAAGTGGGATTTAAAAAAAAAAAAAAATCACTATGTTGTTTTCCTGACGTTTCCCCAGCAAAGGCAAAAGATTTTTAAAGTACATGGAGGAAACGGCAAGTAGAGTCAGCCCTCCATATCACAGGTTCCTCATCCACAGACTGAACCCACTGCAGACTGAAAATATTTGGAAAAGTACTGAAAATGTACATCCTTATTATCATTATTCCCTAAACAATACAGTGTGACAACTATTTACACAGGAAAATGTATATACCTTATATATAAATAATATGACCTTTATAGAAGAAAGCATCCAGAAGTTTTAGTATCCAATGGAAGTACCAGAACTATCCCTCATAGATACTGTGGGATGACTATACTGTCAATCTGGTAAAGCTGAAAACTGGGCACATCAAATATAAGACACTGTGGTACATGAGACTAGAAAGGAAGGATTATATTATATCAGTACTATACTATGCATTTGCCCTTTATAAGAAAGAAGCCATCATGGAAATAGAAAAGTAACATACATACCTTAGAAAGATTTATGAAAGGAAAAGCAGATGATGACAGGTAACCTAGAACATTTTAAGCTTTTGTAGTAGTCCAAGTGAAATGAGCATCCACTATGACTGTAATGTTAACAATAGGAGATGAATTTGAAACAAATTCAAATTCAAAATCTCATGATAAATTTGACATAGGGGAAAAAGAAAACTCAGATTACTATGAGATGACTTATGTAGAGAGAAAGTGATGCCAACAACCAAATTAGAAAAGCACTAGCTAATACTTGGCAAGATAGAAGACAAGAATTTATATTTGATCATGGATCATTAAAACTTAAGTGACAAACCGAGCTAACTGAAAGTCATGGGTATCTTGAAGATAACTTCAGGGATAGAACCTGGGGGGAGGGAGGAATGTATCATAAAGAGTTTTAAGGAATAAATGACTGATGACAAATGCTGCAAAGGTTAAACAGAAGTGCTAAGAAGTGCTACCAGTGAATTTGGCAGCCTTAAATTACCTTTGAAAAAAAACCATTTCAGCTGAGTGATTAATGTGAGGACTCAAATGAAATTGCAGTGAGATGAAGAATGAATGGGAATATGGGGAAGTAAAAGCAGAGATTTCTAAGAACTTAGGAAATGAGCATTAAGAAAGCCAGACTCAAACAAAAGTTGCTGTTGTTTCAGCACCAGAGACTTGAGATGTTTCATGTAAAAATATGGTTAAATAAAAATTTCAAGAGAAAAGACCTTTGTAAGGCATGGGGATAAAACTGTTGGTCCAAATAAATTTTCAACACTGTATTACACAAAGTATTTGTGATTTGCTTCTGAGTCTGCACACTTAACAGTATTAATACAATACTAGTGAACTATAGACTGTAGATTTAACATTTTTAAAACATAGATGCATAAATCCTAAGTTTCAAAATGTATAGAGGGATCCAGAGTTTAATATTTTAACACCTCAATTTTGGTAGGCAGATCACAGTAAAGAAACATTAGTAATATGTTTTACTTTTAATTTTAATTAACATAAATTCTATTTGCCCATATTATGTTCTTAGCACATTCACATTCCTTGATTGAGTATGAAGTCCAGGAAGAGCTGAAACAGGGAAAATAACTTGATAAGCAAGATGCTTTTCCTTACTTCCCTTGTTCTCTCAGTAGAGAAAATACGTAAGTCTCTTAACTTACATGACTTTTTCATGAAATAAGCAATGCATTCTAAAACCAGTAAAATTCTGTTTACATATCAAAGCAGTTGCAATTCAGGTGGGAGAAAATACAAACTATTTTACTACTCCAAAGATCTAAAATTGATCACATCATTTTTTAGCAGCCTAAATGTATTTTTAAAAGAATGGCACTTTTGTCCTTCCTTCCTGAGACAGAAATAGCCCCTCTGCAGGGGTATTTACCATGGCATTCCAACCATTTATACCTAACTAAAGACCTTGATCTTTAACTTTCTTTTTCCTATTGGCATAAGTCAATTTTTGACCATTAAAGGAGGGGAAAGGATTCTGAGATTGAAATCACTTTCAAGATTTTATGGTCTGTTGAAGACAGAAAAATGAGAACTTCTTGAGATATTAAAATAGAATAAAATGTAAAATATAATAATTACAAAGAAAAGTAAAAAGATGATGGTTATCAAATATTTATTTAAAGGTGGAAGACAAGAAAAATTCCTCTCAAACTCCAAAAACAAATTTTGCACCTTTGCTAAATGTAAAATGTTTGTATGTTTGTTTGTTAGTTACAGGGGATTTTTAACCACTGAGTCACATCCCCAGCCCTTTTTTGTATTTTAGAGACAGGGTCTCACTGAGTTACTTGGGGCCCTGCTGAGTTGCTGAGGCTGGCTTTGAACACATGATCCTCCTACCTCAGCCTCCTGAGCCACTGGGATTATAGGCATGCACCACCACGCCTGGCTGCTAAATGTAAAATGAATTTTGAGATATGACTGAAGGCAGATTTACCAAAACAGTGCTAATTTATAACTTACAAAATCTCATCTGCCCTAAGTATTTGGGGGGGGGGGGACAATTTTACACTTAGAAACACTAATGAAATACCTTAAGACTTAACCTAAGAAACAAATCCTTCCTAACCTCAATGACAGCCCCTCTTCATGGAAACAAACATTTCCAACAGAGAAACACACACATACACGCACGCACGCACGCTCGCAAGTGTTGAGCTAAATCAACCTAATCTTTATGTATCCATTTGATAATTTACACAATTATTTATTCTATATAGCATATGACCATTTAGAAACTATATCTTAAGAGCTTTATTGTTCTGGTCCAAGAAGTTGGAAATAAAAGCAAAACTCTTATATTCACAAAAAGACCTGGAATGTACTAACTAGAAAGCCATTAATATAATGCAACATTAAAACAGAAATTTGTATGGAACAAAGGTGGTCAAAAAGTTCCCAGACTGCATCTGAAAAGGATATTGAAATTATAACTCATAAGACATGGTACATAAGCATTATTCAAGGTGATAACATGGCTGTATCATTTGATATCTTGAACCCACTGATTTACATATTCTTCACTTCCACAAAGATAAAAGCATTAGCAACTCAATTTTCAAATTATGGGTGAGTTTGTATGCTGCATTAAGAAACTATATATATAAACCAATAACTGTAGTTATTTTGGATGTCTTCCTCTAAAAGTTTAAGACTCATTTATTTGGGGAAGATACCCCAATGATATTTTCTTACAGTATGACCTCAGTATATCTAGGTATATGCTACTAGAAAACTGGAAATAAAACATAGTTAAATAAATCACCCTTCAATTAAAAAACAAAGTTTAACCATATCCCTTCTTATTTTTCAATACTAGTTTGTTAAGAACTTTTGTCTCCCAAAAAGGTAGGTGCAAATCCCTAAATTTTGCTTAAAACAGATTAAATAGGTAGAGAAGATGAGACAGTGACATATAAAACAGACACCTCTATTTACATTATCATGATTTATACCATCCCTATCCCATGAAACTTCCCATGTTGCAAACACTGATTTCCTATAAGTCATCAAGATTGCCTGTGATATTGCCCACCTTTTTATTAAACCGGAGGCCAGAACTAATATCATTGTTGCAGTTAATCTTTATTTGTTCTAGTGAAATACCTTTTTCTATATGGCTTCTCCTTAACTAGATATATGAGAAGTTTTGATGGGTACCACAAATGAGGCCAGGACAGATACCACTGAAGTAAAAATAGCAACATCTCCCAAAAGGCAGCACAAAGAATCCTAACTGAAAGTCATCAATAAAGAATGGGCCCAGAATAACATGAGATATGCAATGAGCAGAGTTCCTTACACAATGAACACATGAAAGACTTCTGTTTGACTTTTAATTACAAAAGTGGAAGCAGTCTGAAATAGTGCTAAAGTCCATCTTGAAAGATACTTGTCTTACTCATCTTTAGTTAGGCACTGGCAATCCTGTTTCCTACCACAATTTACTTTCTAGATCTTCTTCAGAAAAGGAAGTATACCAGGTTGTTTGCCTTGCTAGGGTAGGGAGGGGATCCTGAGAAAGATGAGGTAACACAGTATTTTGTTATTGGATCTCTATTTATGGCAGTTGAGTCATTGTCATTGCCCTTATTTTACGATTTTTGTTTTTGCCATATTTTTCTCCCATTCTGCAAGAAAAATGCAAAAAAGGACTTTAATTATTCACAACTAAATATTCTGTAAAAAATTTTTTACTTAGTTACCATTAGTATTATAGCACAAGTGCTTACTAATAAGAAAATTTTCTAAACTTCTTATTCTGTACACAAAGAAAATTTATGTTAGGGCTAAATATTCTGGCCACATATCTCATTAGTTAGAAGGATTAGACATCATTAACATATTGTTTCTCCTAACTTTCTAAATTGTTTCTATAACTTAAAACTGCTTTCTTAATGTTGAATATAAATATTTTAAAATGTATTCCAGGAAATAGGGATAAGTTTCACATATTCATCTTATTCAGCAACTTAAGAAATTGTGCAAAATATGATATACATATATACATTCCCATATATAACATATACATATATAGGATTTTATAACTGAATCTTGGTTTTTTGAAATGTTTGCACAGTGTGGGGAGTTTAAATATTTACTAGATTTGAATACATATATTTGTACTCCTTTACCATTCTAAATAGTTATATCAGCAGAGAGAAACATAATATATAAACAAATGACTTAACTGAATTATCAGTTTGTCTTCGCAGACCCAACAGAAAACATTTATTATTATGAACCTTTATTAATTGGCTCACATTTCAGTATAAATCACACTAAAAAGATTTTTAAAAAGCTAATTACACTACAGTGCTGACACACCCAAAATGGGGGGGGGGGGGGGTTGGTATAAATAAGCTGCATGGAAAAGCTTTAAATTGTCAAAAGAATTCTGGCTCATATTACTAAATAAATAAATAAATATATAGATATGTATGTATGTTTATATACATATCTACATATTTATTTATTTTAATGTCAGCTCCATTCTAAAATCTACAACTCCAACTCAAATGGATTTTTTTATAGACTCCTTTATGTTTAAACCTGCAATGTTTACAGTGCATCTGGCCCTACGTGCTTTATACTTCACAGTTATGGACAGGCACTGAGGAATGTTACAAAGCTACATAAACTATATTTTGTAACAGACTTGAGAGCAAGTCCTTGGCTTGCTTTCAGAATTCATGAATATTTATTACATTATTATTTTTTTTAAAAAAATTAAATGCTATATACAAATTTAGCACAAAATGTCATCATCTTTTCTATCTTGATTTGAGTGTGCTGAACTAAGTTGCCTTGTATCAACTAGACTTATGAGACTTCCAGGACACAGTTCTTCCTTTAATTCTTTGCTGCTATTTTCAAATTTAGATTCCATGTCAATCTTAAATTCTGTAAACCGAACATGATCCAATTTTGCTTTAACATTCTTGCCATCCATATTATTAGTCTTTTCAGAAATATTAACATTCACAGGTTCTTCTTTGATTCTTACAGATGAAACAGGTTCATGTTTGATCTGCGATAATTCATGTTTAGAATGAAGTTTTTCTGAAAAAACAGAATCCAAGGAAGTTTTGCTTACAGCACAAATCATGTTGTCCGTGTGAGGTCCAAGAACTGATGATATGGAATCTGGTGATGTGGCTGTTTCATGAGCAGCTGTATTCTGAGATGTGTCCTCCTCTGAGTGATATAATTTGAGCCGAACATGCCATGCTAAACTGCATACTGCTGAAACTGTCTTGAACTGATGAACGACATTCCTTGGAATAAAATAAATGTCATTATCATAGAGCTGAATCCTGGCATAGCGAATGCCTTCTCTCCTCAGTTGATTAAGTTTTGCATCATCAACCCACTGGACGCACTAAAAAAAAAGAAACAAGGAATGCATATAAGCATTTTCCACAATAAAACCTAATCTAAAGATAATAATTATTTAAAATATACCTGGGACAGTGGAGGTTCATGTAAATCTAACTGCATTCGTTGAACTACTTCTAAGAAATCTTCAGCATGAAAACAAATTACATCTTTGGTTATTCGGGGTTGATCAGGCCTAAGAAAATAATAATAATTCTGTTTTAAGGCCTTAATAAGCAAAAGTAACTGTGGTCAATATCAAAATATTCCCTTATATTTCTCTTTTCAATTGTAATTGAAAAAACAATCTATATATCTAAACAAAGAGTTGACAAACAGATTAAAAGCAACTCACTTCATTTTATCATAGCTGTCACGAGATTTTTAAAAATTAAAATGATTTGCATTGGTAAATTATGCAAAACAACTCTTTCATTTTAATGTTATGATCAATACTCTATAAAAGTTGTGCTAAATTTGCTAATAATAAAAACTTGATGTTGGGGACATTATATTAAGTGAAATAAGGTATGCACAGAAAGACATATATTGTATGTTCTCAATTATATGGGGAAACTAAAAAAAGAACAGTGGTACAGCTGGGAAGTGGAAGGATGGAAAATGGTAATAAGACTGTTAATGGGTACAAGGATGCAGATAGACAGAAGGAATAATTTCTTATGTCTAGAGCACAGTAGGAACTATGGTTGACTTTAAATTTAATTGTATATCACAAAACATCTTTTAGAAAGAAACTGAATGTTCCCAACACAGAAATGATAAATGTTTGAGGTGATTACCCTGTTCTGATCACTGAATATTATATACATGTACTCAAATATCACATTGTACCCCATAAATATATACATTAATTAAGGGTCACTAATTTTTTTTAAAAATTAGAACTATGGGAGAAAAGGAATATTGTATTTCCAAAGAAGATATAAACTGCATTAATGCATAAAAACCTTAAGTAATGCTTAATAAATTGATAAGATTTTCATTAGAAAAATACTCATAGTTCACTGGCATCATCACTGTCTTAAAATATAATTTTTAAAAATCCCCAAATTCTTCAATTATCTAGGAATATACGAATATAGTTTTACATAAGGTGCTCAAAAATGGATTTTGAATTAAACTCCAAGCAACATAAATACAAAGAAAAGTTACACCAAAGTAAATCATAAACAAATTTCTAAAGAACTATGGCACAGAATATCTAGAAGAAATGCACTGGATTATACATAGGGAAAGAGGATAATCTGTCACTGTATTATACAGACTTCCCATCGATGATAATACAAGCCAAAAGAGAGTGAATTAAAGTATTGGAGGGAAAAGTCCATCTAGAATTCTATACCCACCAAAAATAATATTCAGAAATAAACATTTTCAAACAGACAAAAGTTAAGAAAAATCTGTCACCAGAAGACCAGCATAACAACGAATATTAAAGAAATTTCTAGACTGAAAAAAATGACATTAAGATGAAAATGCAGATCTATGCAAAAGAATGTAAAGCACACATAATAGTAAATATGAAAGATATTTTATTCTCATTTTTTAAATCTATAGAAAATAATTCCTTAAAGCAAAAGTAATAACATAATGTGGGGTTTACAGCATATGGAAAGTAAAATATTTGACAACAATTAGCATACAAGAAATGGGTAAAGGGGAAATAAATGGGAATATACTGTTGAAAGTCTCTTACACATTAAATAAAGAGATATGACATCATCTGAAGGTAGAGTGTGATAAATTTAGAGCAAATAAACAAATAAAACAGAGCTATAGCTAGTAAGCAAACAACAGAAATAAAATAGAACACTAAAAAAGATAAGAGGAGCCAGGCACCATGGAACATGCCTATAATCCAGCAGGTTGGGAGGCTGAGGCAAGAGGGCTCCAAGTTCAAAGCCAGCCTCAGCATCTCAGTGAGGTCCTAAGCAACTCAGTGAGACCCTCACTAAATAAAATACAAAAAAGGGCTGGGGCTGGGGCTCAGTAGTTAGGTGCCCCTAGATTCAATCCCTGGTACCAAAAAAAAAGTCAAGAGAAAAAGGAACAAAGAAGAGAAGCCACAAATGGGAAAACCAAGATAATTAATTTAAATCCAAATTTTAATATTAGATACAAAAGTTCTAAATATTCATATTAAAAAACAGATTGCCGGGCTAGGGTTGTAGCTCAGTGGTAGAGCACTTGCCTACCATGCATAAGGCACTAGGTTCAATCCTCAGCACCACATTAAAAATAAATAAATAAATAAAGGTATTGTGTCCATCTACAACTAAAATTATAAAAATTTTTAAAAAGACAGATTGCCACTGGATTTGGAAGGGGAAAAAAACACCCAATTTTATGATATCTACATGAAATAACAATATAGACTTATCAACTAAATTTTAAAGAAAAAGAACAGGAAAAGATATGTGAATACAAATCACAGGAAAACTGGAGTGACTATACTAACATCAGACAAAGAGGACTTTAGGTTAAGAAAGATTACCAAGATTAAAAAAAGCATCTTATAATGATAAAATGGTCAATTTATCAAGAAGGAACTCTAAATGTACAGTTATTTAATAATAATAAAGCTTCAAAATACATGAACAACCTTCAAAACATGATGCTAAGTGAAAAGCTAATCATAAAAGACCACATTGCATATAATTCCATTTATATGGAACATTCAGAATACATGCATACAGATTAAAAGTAGAATAGTGATTACCCAGGCTAGGGAAGATGGAGAAACTGGAGAGGTATTGTATTAAAGGGTACAGAGCATCTTTCTGTACGCTTTAATGTCCTGCAATTAATCATTAATAATTATAATTAATGTTCTATATAATTGTGATAGTTGCAAAATTTTGTGAATATACTAATAACCATTGCCTTGTACACTTTAAATAGATGATTCATAGCATACGTAAATTGTATCTCAATTAAGCTGTTGCAAAAGAAAAATATCTGGAGCAAAACCAAGAAAAACTGGAAGGAAGAATAGACAAATCCAGTGTTATAGAGTTGGAGATTAACAAGTTGACAAAAATCAATAAAGATATAAAAGACTTTAACCATACAATCAACAAACCTGACTTAACATTTCTAGAGCACTACACCTCAAAAATCAACCAAACATATATTCTTTTAAGTGGACAGCAAACATTAAGATAGCTCATAAAACAAACCCTAAAAATTAGGAAAGACCAAAATCATACACAATATGTTTTATCACCATAGGGGGAATTAAATTAAAAATCACACAGAAAAGTTATGCTAATACAAATCATAGGAAAGCTGGAGTGACTATAATAACGTAAAACAAAGAGGACTTCAGAACAAGAAGGATTACCAAGAATAAAAAGGGCATCTTATAATGATAAAATGGTCAATTCATCAAAAAGGAACTCTAAATGTACAGTAGCCTAGTAATAAAGCTTCAATATACATGGAACAACTTTCAAAACACACACACACTCACACACAGCTAGGGTATAGCTCAGTGATAGAATGTTGCCTAGCATACATAAGACCCTGTTCCAACTCCAATGGTGAAAACACACACACACACACACACACACACCAAAAAAAAAAAAAAAAAAAACACCACCACACACTCTGGGAAAAAAAAATAATCAGACATTAGAAATTAAACAAGACTCTTCTCAACAACCCATAAGTTAAAAAAGACATCAAACAAAAAGTCAAAAATATCCCAAACTGAGTAAAAACGAAAATGTCAAAATGTGTGAAATGTAGCTAAAGCAGTGCTTAAAATTTTAAATACTTACATTAAAAAAGAAAAGTCTCAAATTAATCATGTAAGTTTCCAACTTAAGCTACAAAAACAAATTATTTTTAACCTAAAAGGATAGCAGAAACAATGAAATAGAAAACAAAAAAAAAAGTGAAATAAACCACTGTATGAAAAGATCAATAAAATTAATAAATTCGAGCATGACTTATAAACACAAATCACTAATATTAGCAAACTGAATCCAGTACTAAAAATTATTTTATATATTATACATATTATGCTGTATTTACCACAAATACCATGTGTATCTTAATATAGGCATATAAATATAGGTATGTACGGTTACTGTATATATGTATTGGTTACTCTGTATTTTATTCTTTTTCATTATATGTGAATATCAACATTCACAATGTAAAACTGTCACCAATTCCCTTGACAACTGCTCTGCTCCAGCACTAGGTATTTAATCCAGGGGAGCTTTACTACTAAACTACATCTTGTGTCCTTTTTTTTTTTTTATACATGCTCTATGACATATACAATATTATGTTCTCTATATATACATATATACCAGATATTTTATGTAAATAAAATATGTAACATATATAAATGATATTATGATAATGCAGAATAACTAAGAGGTTTTTAAGTCTAGGAAACAATAACAGAATTATAAAATTACAGGGTCTTAGAATAAGTTTATGTTTACTCCCCACTCCCCCCAAGTACCAGGGATTGAACCCAGGGGTGCTTAATCACTGAGCCACATCCCTAACCCTTTTTATTTTTTTATTTTGAGACAGTCTCACTAAGTTACCTAGTGCCTCACTAAATTGGTGAGGCTGGCTTTCAACTAATGCTCCTCTTGCTCTGCCTCCCGAGTAACTGGGATTACAGGTATGTGCCAATGTGCCCGCCTATATTTGCTTTGATAAGACATATCAAACAGTTCCCACAGCAACATAATGAAAGTTCTGGTTAATCTCCATCCTTGTCAGCTTTGGCTACTACTGGTTTTTATCACCCTAAGCTGTTTTAATGGATGTATTTTGTTACTTCATTGTAGTTTTAATTTGCATTGAACATTTTTTAAATGTTTACTAGCCCTTTGTTATTTCTTTTATAAAATGTCTATTAAAACCTTTTGCCCAGTCTTGCCAGGCATAGTGATGCATGCCTGTAATCCCAGCAGCTCAGGAGGCTGAGACAGGAGGATTGTGAGTTCAAAGCCAGCCTCAGTAAAAGCAAGGCACTAAGCAACTCAGTGAGACCCTGTCTCTAAATAAAATACAAAAAAATAGGACTGGGGATGTAGCTCAGTGGTCAAGTGTCCCTGAGCTCAATCCCCAGTACCAAAAAAATTAAAAATTAAAAAAAATAAAACTTTTTGCCCAGTTTTAACTGAGTTCACTATTTATTTTAAATTTTAAGAGTTCTTTATATATATGGATATGAGTCATATAGATAGATGACTGGCCTATAACTTGCTTTTTCATTTTCCTAAAAGTATCATTTGAAGGACAGTTTTAATTTTGATAAAATCCACATTTATGGGTTAGGGATACAGCTCAGTTGGTAGAGTGATTCCCTCGAATGCACAAGGCCTGAGTTCAATCTCCAGCACCAGCACCACCCATATCATTTACCTGATAATGATGATTTGAGTTGTTCTCAATTTTTAGTTTTATGAATAAAGTTGTTTTTTTACATTTTTAACATTTATTTAATGAAATATTTCATTCATACAAGAGTACACAGAGTCTAATTGCCCATTAAAATACAAAGATGTATAGCCACCACTCAAGAAATACAGCAATGCCCTTCCTAAAATGACATCTCACCACTATCAAGGTAATCTCTATTCTGAAATAATAAAGTTGTTTTTAACATTTACTTAAAAGTCTTTACATGGATATATGCTTTCATTTATTTTCGTTTAAATACATATTAATATAATTGCAGAGTGTTAGGGTAAGGCAAAATAACTGTACATGGAGAAAACTGAAAGTTTTTTTTTTTTTTAAAAAGCGGGCTTGGGTTGTGACTCAGCAGTAAAACGCTCACCTCGCTCACGTGCGAGGCGATGGGTTCAATCCTCAGCACCACATTAAAAATAAATAAATAAAATAAAGGTATTGTGTCCAATTACAACTAAAAAAATAAATAAATAAGCACTAGAATTAATGATCAAGTTTACCAGAGTCACAGGTGAACTGTATTTCTGTGTTTAGCAGCAAATATCTGGTAAAATTAATTTTAGGCATATTTATAATTCTGTTAACAAAATCCTAGACTAGGCAAAACTAATCTATAGTAACAAAAAGTAGACTAATGGATGTTTGGATGTCTGGAGCTGGGAAAGGATTGAGATGATTAACTGGCAAAAGATATGATAAAAGCCAAAGATTCTGTACATTAGATGGGGTAATGACAACATGAGTCTACACATTCATCAAAACACATCAAAATGTATACTTAAAATTAGTTTTTTTTACTGAATATAAACTATATTTCAATAATGATGATGATTTTCTAAAGACAATTTCAAAGAAACAACCTCCAAATATATGTCTATAAAGTCTTATCTTAATAAGGCCTAAACACTTATATAATTTGAGTAATAATTCACAAGGCTTGTCCCAATATAGTTGGAGATTTCTTTGTAGTCTTTATCAATACCAATCTTTTACTTCAAGTTGATCTTAAGCCTAGCTCTTAGGTAAAGTCAAGAATTTAACATCCTAAACCAGGCACAGTGATGCATGCCTATAATCCTAGCAATTTAGGCAGCTGAGGCAGAAAGATTGCAAGTTCAAGGTTAACCACAGGACTTAGTGAGACCCTGTCCCAAAATAAAAATAAATAAATAAATAAAAAGGGATAGTGATGTAGCTCAGTAGTAGACTGTCCCTGGGTTTAATCCCCAATACTGAAAGGAAAAGGAAAAAAGAAAAAAAAAATTCCAATACCTTAATAGTTAAGGTCTTTTCAAGAAATGTAAAAATTTCCTTTGTTTAATAACTTGCTTTAACATCAAAGAAACAATAAAAAGAATATACACCCATCTGCATCACAGCCACTACTATAGTTTGGACTATTAGAAGGTAGTAGTAGAACCTTTGGTAGGTGGGGCTCAGTGAAACGTACCCCAGTCTTCTTCTCTGTTCCCCAGTTCATGGGGTAAGCAATTTTGTTCTGCCACATGCTAGTACCATCATGTACTACTTTACTATAGTACTAAAGCAATGGACTGGAAACTAAATCCATAAGCCATATTTCCTTGTATATTAATTATCCCAGATATTTACAGTGATGGAAAGCTGATTAACACAGCCATAAAGCCCTCAATAGTATTAACAAAATTACTTTCTCTTTAGTATTAAGAGATTAAAAAGCACTATTAATGTGAGAAGCGAATTATATTTTTCCAAAGTGAGAAACTTCATAGCTAGCAATATCTCACTCATTCCAAATCTGTCTCAAGAATATTCTTAAATCTGGTCATGTGACATGTTAGTAATTTGACAGTAGTCCTTTTTTACTATGAAATTTGTAACCACAAATGTAGTTTCTTATTCTATAAATGTTTATTGGGATCTGTGGTAGGCCTTTGAAACATAGGATTTAATCTGTAGCTTTAATTTCCATATAAAGGGAAAGAAAGAACACATACCAACAATAATTTAAAACAGACTTGAGAGATTTTTAAAAAGTGCTGAGGGCTTTAGAAGCGAGAATATTTATCTCCAAAAGGAAATATATGTGGCTGACTTTATGGAACACTATTTACAAATCAGATTTACCCTAAGAAAATATTAATGTCAATGTTAAATTCTTTATCTGAAACATTTGAGGAAGACATCATTAATTTGAAACAGAAAGAATTTTTAAGGATTTCCACAGAGATAAATTTGTCTTTACTCTTTGATAAAATTAACATTTTAAACTAGATAATAAAAAGAGCATAGAAACTATAAAAACAACCACAGTTATTTGAAAATTAACATTTAAGCATAACTCAATGAGGGGCTGAGGCTGTAGCTCAGAGGCAGAGCACTTGCCTAGCATGTGTGAGGCACTGGGTTCAAGCCTTAGCACCACATAAAAATGAAACAAATAAAATAAAGGCATGCTGTCCATCTATAACTACAAAAAATAAAAATAAAAAAGCAACTCAATGAGAATTATGAAATACTTAATATTTTAAAATATTAAGTAAAAAAACTTAATATTTTTATTAAGTATTTTTTATTTTATTAATTTATTTTATTTTATTAATATTTTATTAATTTATTTATTTTATTAATATTTTTTCCTAAGAATATTTTTTCCTTAGAATCAGTTCTAGATCCTAGTACAATTCAATATCAGATACTTTGTATACCTGAGATTGATAAACCTTCATTCCTTTTATAATCAGTTTACACTGGCTAGCTTCTCTATTTAGTATTAATTTATAAAATATTACTACAAATTTCTCTTTTTAATTAAGTGTCAATCTGGCATAAGTAATCCTTGAAAATAATATTGCCCTATGTGGAAAATACAGGTTATAATTTTAGTAAGACCTCAGAAAACTACACAACTAATATTTTATGTTTTCAGAATGAAAAATGGTTTCTTTACTTAGAAAAGTCTCCTGTTTATTTGCTATCTAATTCCACTGCTTTAATAAGAAAGCATATTCTAATTCATGTTTCATACCCAAACCCAAACAATACTCAACTTGACAAATATCTGGGGCTGAGGGTGTAGCTCAGTGGTACAGCAATTGCCTAGCACATGTGAGGCACTGGGTTATACTCTCAGCACTGCATAAAAATAAATAAAATAAAGGTATTGTGTCCATTTACAAAAACAAAAAAAAAATTAAAACTCAAATATAAACAAACTTACGTATAAATATAGCTATAGTATAAATATAACTTTGCTATTTTTGCTATTTACTAAATGAAAAGTTACATAACATATGTATAAGCACCTTAAACATATTAAATAGAATAATCTACATTTAATCTATCCAAATATTTCTTATTTTTTTATTCACCAGAGGCTGCGAAGAGCAGAGGGGAAGGAGGAGGTGGAGAGGTCCATGATCAAGTACAAAGTTATAGTGAAGTCGGAGAAAAAAGTTCTGGTGTTCCATTGCACAGGAGGGTGACGATAATGCACTGTATATCTTGAAATAGCTAGCAGAAAGGATTTTTCAAAGTACTCACCATTAATGATAAGTTTAAGGTGATAAATATGCTTATTTCCTGATTTGATCATTAAACAGTATATATATGAAATCAAATATCACATTTGTACCCCATAAATATATACAATTACTATATATCAATCAAAAATAATAAAGACCAAAAATATTTTAAAGAAAAAGAAATTCAAAGTGAAGCTTGTAAGCAAAGCTGAAAAAAAAATCAGAGACAAATAATAAACAGATATTAACTTAATAAAGGAAGCAGTAAAGCAGAATAGTAGAAAGAAAACACAAAATCCATCTCAGCTCTACTACTTATTAACTAGAAGACTATAAAGAAGCTGTTTGACAGCCCTGAGCTTCAGTTTTCTTTTGTCATAAAAATGGGCCAAAAAGTAGTTGAGAAACTTAAGTAAGACTACATTTATTTTAAAAAAAAAGTACATTTATAAATGGCCATATAGTAATACAAAGTAAATCTAGTTTTTCTTTTACCCTAGTGTTTTTACCTTCTACCCATATAGAAAATGAAATTATTTAACTCAAACAAATGACTACAGCTAGAATCTAACAATTTAAAACCTTCTTTAAAGCAATGTGAAATTAGGATACCCAAACACAGGGAGGGTAACTAAAATTCTTCTCTTCCCCAGTATGGAAAAATTATTAAGAAAGTTTTCAAGAAAAAATTTAGAAGCCACAAAAGTCTTTCATTAGAATAGCAGTAGTTATATATACCACTCTCCACAGTGCACAGCCTTCAGTACTCCAACAGCAGCTGTTGTCTGTCGTTCAAAACCTTGTCCTATATGATCTGCATGGGCCCTTGTCCTGTCTTCAAAGAGCATCTCACGAGGCTCACTGGTTCGAGGTAGGTACTGAAGGTTTTTTATTTCATTGGTAGTTCTGTTTTTAAAAAAGATTTATATTTATATATTGAAGCTTACTTGCCATCAAACATTCAATAATCACATAATTCAGATAAAAGGAACTTTAAATTACCTGTTCCCAAATTAAGTTCTAATTTTTTAAATGGATGAAAACACATATACAATACAATCCCCTCCTTGTAATACACCTTCACAAAAGTCACAGCTATAAAAAAAAAAAAATTTACTTGGATAATAAAGTGAATTACAGATGGTATAATTTACTGAGTTTCCTTATATATTAATCCCCTCTTGACAGTGGTTTCACATTGTCTCAGTTAACCTACAGTCAACTGTGGTTTGAAATATTGTGAAATTTTTCATAAATAAATATTTGCTTTCATAAGCAATGAGGAAGCAGTAGAGATACAGAGTAATGGCAATGATAAAATAGCAGCAGATACTTTTCCAAATATTTGGAACAAGATGGATATTCAGATACTAGAGGTATTTAGAACCCCAAATAGACAGGATCAAAAAAAAGAACCCTCTACAACACAATGGAATTAAAATGCAAAAAATACAGATCAAAGAAAAATTTTAAAGCTACAAGAATGAGATGCCAGGTCACATTTAAAGGAAAACCAATCCAAATAATATCGGATTTCTCAATGTAAACCCTAAAGTCCAGGAAGACTTGGAAAGATGTATTATGAACCCTGAAAATAACTGCCAACCAAGACGGCTATATCCAGCAAAGCTTATCTTTCATAATCAAGGAAAAAAAACTTTCCAAGATAAACATAAACTAAAGGAACTTATGACTACTAAGCAAGTATTGCAAAACATAGGATCCTTAAGAGAATCCTATACACAAAAAAGAGAGAAAGAAATAACCAAATAACCAAGAGAGAATAAATCTCATTAGAAATAAATATGCAATGAGAATCGGGATTAAAGAAAACATTAGAAATAAGTCAAAGTGACAGGAATCCTCCAATTAAAAGACACCGGCTGGCAGAATGGATTAAAAAAAGAAGATCCAACAAGAAACAAACCTCACAGGCTAAGACATCCACAAGCTGAAAGTAAATATGGAAAATTATATCCCAGGTGAATGGAATCCAAACTACTAAGTGTGGTGGCATATGCTTATTATCCCAGCAACTCAGGTGGCTGAGACCGGAGGATCACAAGTTCAAGGCCAGCTTCAGTTACTTATCAAGGCCCTCAGCAACTTAGTGAGACTCTGTCTCAAAATTTTAAAAAGTAAAGTAAAAAGAACTGGGAATATGGCTCGGTGGTAAAGAACTCTTAGATTTAATCCCAAGGACAAAAAAAAAGAAAAAGAAAAGAAAACCTGAAAGCAAATAGAAAAAGCTATTCTCATATAAGACAAAGCATACTTCAAGATAACAAAAATCACTACATATTAGTAAAGGGAACACTCCAACAATACAATAATGATAGTAAATATATATACTCCAAACATCAGTGTACCTAAAAACATAAAAAAGAATATTTGACATAAGGGCTCACTTAGGTCCCAATATAATAATAGTGAGTTCAATATACCTGTCTCATTACTAGATAAGTCCTGAAAACTTAAAATCAAGATACTACATAGACAATCCCCCCAAACCAAATGCTGAATGTTCTCTCTGATTTAAGGAGGCTGATTCATAATCGGGTTGGAGTCGGGGGGGAGCACAGGAGGATTACACAAACTCTAGATATGGTAAAGGGGGGGAGGGGAAAGAAGGGGGGTATGTGGGTAGAAAAGATGGTGAGATGAGAGGAACATCATTACCCTAAGTATATGTATAAAGACACTAAAGGTGTGGCTATACTTTGTATACAACCAGATATGTGAAAAATTGTGCTCTGTGTGTAATATGAATTGTAATGCATTCTGCTATCATATATAACAAATTCAAATAAAAGTAAGTAAATAAAAATTTTAAAAAATCAAGATACTACAGAGTTAAATCATACTATATATCAAATGGATTTAACATATCTATAGAATATTTCATCTAATAATCACTCAATATACTTTCTTCTCAGCTGCTCATGGAATTTTCTCCAAAAATGAATATTTAGACCTCAAAGCCAAGTATTAGAAAATACAAAAAAAAAAAAAACCTCAAATAATTCCTTATATCTTATCAGATCATAATGGAATGGAATGAAATTAGAAATCAACAACCAAGAAAAACTATAGAAACTACATAAACACATGGAGACTGAACAATGTTTTTTGAATGATGACTGGAACGTTGAAGAAATCATACTAAAAATTTTAATATTCCTAAAATAAAATGAGAATATAAATACAATACACCAAAATCTCTGGGACACAGCAAAGACAGTTCTAAGAGGAAAGCTTTTAGTGATAAGTGCCTACATTAAAAAGTCAGAACAGGGCTGGGAGTATAGCTCAGTGGTAGGGTGCTCGCCTTGCATGTGGAAGGCACTGGGTTCAATCCTCAACACCACATAAAAATAAAATAAAGGTACTGCGTCCACCTACAACTAAAAGAAGAAAAAAAAATCAGAACATTCCCAAACAAACAACCTAGTGATAAATCTCAAAGTCTTAGAAAAACAAAGAAAAAAATCATTCTCAAAACTCTAGAATAAAGAAAAAAATAATAAATATCCAAGCTAAAATTAATGAAATATAGGACAACAAAATCTCAAAGGATCAATGAAACAAAGAGTTGATTCTTTGAGAAGATAAACAAGATTGATATACACTTCACCAAAATAACCAAAAGAAAGAGAAAAAAAAGACCCAAATTAATAAAATTAGAAAAATAAAAAAAAAAAAAAAAACAAGAGCTATTCACATTAGATGCCACTGAAATTCAGAGGATCATTTGAGACTATTTTGAAACTTGCTTTCCAATAAATTAGAAAATCTGGAAAAAACAGATAAATTATTCTAGATATATATGACCTACCAAAATTGAATAAAGAGAACACAGAAAACCTAAACAGACTAATAACAAAAACAATGAGACAGAAGCAGTAATAAAATAAAACCAGGACCAGATGGATTCACAGCCAATTCTACCAGACCTTGAAGGAAAAAAAAAAACTAATGTCAATGCTCCCCACATTATTCCAGGAAACAGAAAGAAACACTTCCAAACCTACTCTCCAAAGCCAGCATGACCGTGATACTAAAACCAGATAAGGATCCTCAAGGAAAGAAAACTACACACCAATATCCTCGATGAACAGATATAAAAACCCTTAATAAAATATTAGCAAACTGTATTCAACATCACGTTAAAAGATTATATATCATTATCAAGTTGGTTTCATTGCAGGGATGCTAAGATGACTCAACATATGTGAATCAATAAATATACCACTTAAATAGAATCAAAGACAAAAATCATATAATCATCTCAACAGATACAGAAAAAGTCAGACAAAATTCAGCACCCATTCATGACAAAGAACCTTGAAGAAACTAGAAATAGAAGGAAATTACCTTGACATAAAGACTATATATAACAAACCCAAAGCCAGTATCATACTGAATAGAGAAAAACTGAAAGCATTTCCTCTAAATGAAACAAGACAAGGATGCCCAACTCCCTACTCCTATTCGATACAGTACTAATTCTAACCAGAGAAATTAGGCAAAAGAAGTATTACAGTTTAGATATGAGTTGTCCCCCAAAAGCTCATGTGGGAAACAAAAGAATAATGTTCAGAGATAAAATGATTAGATTATGAGAGCTATGACCGAATCAATAGATTAATTCACTGATATGAATTAAATGGGTGGTAGCTTTAGGCAGGTAGGACGTGGCTGGAAGAAGAAGGTTACTAGAGGTATATCTTTGAGGTTTATATTTTGACCCAATAAGCAGATATCTTCCTCTGCTTTCTGGCTGCCATGTCCTGAGCTGCTTTCCTCTGTCATACTGTTCTGTCTCATCTCAGTCCCAGAGCTATGGAGCCAGCCAACCATAGGCTGAATCTCTGAAACTGTCAGCCAAAATAAAACTTTTCCTCCTCTAAGTTGTTCTTTGTGGAGCAAAGCTAACTAATACAGAAAATAAAAGGAATACAAATTAAAAAAAGGAAGAAGTAAAATTGTCCCTCTTTGCAGATGACCTGGATCCAATACTTAGAAGAGAATAAATCCTCCACCAGAACACTTCTAAACCTTATAAGCAAAGTAGCAGGACACAAAATCAACCTATGAAAAGCAACAGCTTTTCTATATACTAGTAATAAATACACTGAGAAAGAATTCAGGACAAAATTACAACAGATTTAAAAACATACTTAGGAATAAATCCAACCAAGGAGGTGAAAGATACCTATGAGGAAATTTACAGAACATGAAGAAGAAATAGAAAATGACACCAAAGGATGGAAAGCCCACCCGTGTTCATGGAGAGACAGAATTAATATTGTTAAAATGGCCATACTGCCAAAAGCAATCTGCAGATTCAATACAATCCTCATCAAAATACCAATAACATTCTTCACAGAACCAGAAAAAACAATCCTAAAATTTATACAGAAGAAGAACAACAACAAAACAGAATAGCCAAAGCAACTCTAAGGAAAAAGAGTAAAACTGGAGACATCACAATACCCATCTTCAAATTATACCTCAGAACCATAGCAACAAAAATAGCATGGTACTGGCATAAAAGCAGACACCAAGACCAATGGATCAGAACAGAAGGCACAAACTCACAGAGGTACTACAATTATCTGATTCTTGACAAAGGTGCGAAAACTTATGTTGGGAGAAAAGACAGGCTGTTTAACAAATGGTATGGTGCTAGAAAACTGAATATCCATTATGTAGAAAAATTAAAAACAGACCCCTCTCTCTCACACACAAGTCAACTTAAAATGGATCAAAGACCTAGGAATTTAGTCCAGAAACTTTGCAACTTTGCAACTGCTATAAGAAAACATAGGGTCAACATTCCAACATACAAGCACAGGCAATGATTTCCTCCACAGTACTCCTAAAAAGCTCAGTAAAAACAAGGATTAATAAACGGATGCTATCAAACTAAAAAACTTCTGCAAAACAAAGGAAACAACAATGTAAGGAAAGAACCTACAGAATGGGAGAAAATCTCTGACAGCTTTTTTGCTGATAGAGGATTAATATCTAGAATTTATTAAGAGTCAAAAAACTACACACCAAAAAAATAAATAACCCACTCAATAAATGAACAAATACACTAAACAACACTTTTCACAAGAAGATGGCCAAAAATATATGAAAAAATGTTCAATATCTTTAGTCAGCAGGGAAATGGAAATCAAACTACACTGAGATTTCATCTTGCTCTAGTTAGAATGTCAATCATCAAGAATACAAATAACAATGCTAATGAGAATACAGAGGAAATGAACATTTTTACACAGTTGATGTAAGTATATATTAGTACGACCACTATGGAAAATCAATGTGGAGACTCCTCAAAAGACTAGGAGTGAACCACAATATGATCTAGCTATACCACTCCTCAGTATTTACCCAAAAGAACTAAAGTCAACATACTGTACAGATACAAGCATACCCATGTTTGAAGCAGTACAATTCACAACAGCCAAAGTATGGAACCAGCCTAGGTGTTCATCGGATGAATAGATAAAGAAAAATGTGATATATAAACACAATGGAGGCTTACTTAGCCATAAAAACTAAATTATGTCATTTGTAAAAAAAAAAATAAAATAAAATGGATGAAACTAAGAGGATCATGTTAAACAAAAGAAGCCAGACTCAGAAAGGTAAGGTCATATATATGTTTTCTGGTCAGAAGGGATCTCGTAAAAATAGAAGGGACACAGTGAAGTACAGGAAAGGGGTAGGGCAAGGGGAAATAATGAAAAGTGAAATCATTCAAAATATTTTATATGCATGTATGAATATACCACAATGAAACCCACATCAACAAAAAATAAAATTATAAACAAAACAATTCCTAAGTTTTCAATTGCTTACTATTCAGAGTCATATTATGAAATCTCATGCCATTCCATTCTGTCCTGCCCAGGATGCAAATCATCCCTTTGTTCAGAGTACTCACCTACTTGCCTATTAGTCACTCAGTATCTCCACTACCAAATTGAGTTGTCTCAATATTCTAGTAATTCTTATTTTATCTTAACAATGACCCTAAAGGACAAGAGTAATGATGCTGCACCAGACATATCTGTAATCAATGATCCATAATCAACTCAGGAGGCTGAGGCAGGAAGATTGCAAGTTTGAGGACAGCCTCAGTAATTTCACAAGACTCTTGTCTAAAAATTAATATACGTATAAAGGACTGGGAATGTAGCACACTGGGTTCAATCCCCCACACCCACCCCCGAAAAAAGAGTAATGATGCTAGCGATTCAGGTAGGCCAAGGAGAAGCCTTTAAGTGAAAGATGAAAATACAATAAGATATTTCGAGAGAAAGAGAGCATCAGGCCACATTCGTATACCTTTTATTTGAGTTTATTGTTTTTGTTGTGTCATCTTATTAGTTATTGCTACTAATTTCTTACTATGCTTAATTTATAAATTAAAGTTTTATAAGTCAAATATATAGGGGAAACATAGTACATATAAGACTTGGTACTATCTGTGGTTTCAGACATCCTCTGGGAATCTTAGAATGTATTCCCCAAGGAAGGGAAGACTCCTGTACCTAGAATCTTTATCTGAGATTTGGGTCTAATCTGAATAGGATCATGTACCCACGTATACAGGATAGAAACCCTATTTAGATCACTTGGTATCACAAAATATACTTTTAGAATAAAAGGTAACTTAAAATTACATTAAGTCAGTATTTATAGGACCCAGGCTATATGGCAGGAATCTTCTAGGCACTGAGGCTAGTATTAATGAGACATTAATGACAGATGGGGTTCCTACAGTCATGGAACTTTATATTCTACTGAGAAGAGGACAAAAAATAAGAAAATTAGCAAGGAGAAAAAGTCAGCAAGTGCTTCCATAAAACATGCCTGGTTTACTGGAAGCAGAAAGGAAACCCTTAGCTCTGTCTTGGAAGACAGTCACCTCCCACTGTCCCTCTCCTCCACTTTCATCCTCTAGAATCCATAAAGCACACAAAATTCACTACCTACTTAGCCTTATATACTGCAGAAATCTCTTTAATTCTACTGTAGAATGGGGGAAAGTATGAGAACAACTCTGGCCAGAAGTAATCGTTTATCTTCCTCTCGGGTTTTTACGTTGCTTCCAGAGACAATTTTAGATTGCCCCTATGCTTTTCTCCTCTTATCATCATTTATCCTCCTGGAAGTTACTTATTAGTTCTCTAAGTTCCCACCCTTTATCCTACTACCTACTGCTCTTTGGGTACCCTTGCATTACAGTCTCATACATACATACACCCATATATGTGTACATAAAACATACTCATATATTCTTTTGTTCTTTGTGACTAACATCTTACATGTGTCAGAAAGTTAGATAATGCCTGTAATAGCAGCAAATGGGAAGGCTGAGGCAGAGGATAAGTTTGAGGCCAGTCTCAGTGATTTATGCCAGGCCCTAAGCAACTTAGTGAGAGCCTATCTCAAAACTAAAACTTAAGAAGGGATGAGGAGCTGGGCATAGGGGTACAAGCCTGATCCCAGCAACTTGGAGTTTAAGCCAGTCTCGGCAATTTAGTGAGATCTTGTCTCAAAATACAAAATTTAAAAAAGCTTAGGATGTGGCTCAGTGGTAAAGTGCCCCTGGGGTTCAATCCCCAATACCCTCCCCCTCAAAAAATTGGTAATGTTGCTTCCTGTGGAAAACTAAGAGGCTTTCAACCTCACAAGCTTGGTCTCATTAATGAATTAAGGCACATATAGCACTTGGCACAATGCTGTTATTAGTCATCACACATACCATGGGCTGTAAACCCTTAAGTGAATGGAAATTCCTCAGGGAGCTGGCGTTATTACAAATCTAAACTTTGTATATATCTGCATTATTCTGGGAAAAGACTTTCAGATTCAATGATTGCTAAATTCTAAAACAAAATTAAGAACACTTGAGAAGCACATCAATTTTATCATTTGCTACCAACTTAGAAATTAACTTGTAAAATTTAATTCAACCCAAAGTTATTAAGCACAACACTGTGTCTAAACACATATGCTAGAAACACATTAGTAATAAGCCCAACATGGTCCTTGCCATCAGGCAACCTACTACTAATGACTTTGCTCTTCTGTTTTTTTGTTTTAATTAATAATCACTGTAACCAATAAAACTATTTTAGGTATCTAAAGAAAAAGAGATTATCTCCTTTAGGATGACCACTTCCAATCCCAAATGTTAACATAGTGTACTCTATTCCAAACCTTTTCCTGTGCTCACATAAATATACATTTATTCATGGGGTTTTATTTCATAGTTATTTTTGTTTTTCATAAAAATCATAAGAATCATACAAGATACATTATCTTATATTTTGCTCTTTTCAAGTGTCATGAATAACCTTCCAGATCAAAAGAAATAAAAATCCTATTTTAACTGTTTTATCATATTCTTTAATAAGAATGTAGAAATGTATTCAACCATTCCCCTGGTTGGTGGACATTCAGGCATTAAATTATTTTCTTATTACAAACAAGACTACTATTAGCATTCTTACATCTTAATCTTTAATGCTTTTATTTATTGGGGTAGATCCCCAAAAGTAGGGGAGCAGATCATGGTTAGATACAAAGTGTATGAGCTACTTCCAGACTTTCAAAGCAACTCACTCTTCTACCAACAATATATATAAAAGACTTTCTTCACAACGCTTGATTATTGCTACATTAGTATTGCTATGTTGATAAATTTATCAGCTCAAAGGGCAAAAATATCTTGTAGCTTGTTAAAAATAAACTTACCTGCCTAAGGTAAAGTTTATATTTCTACTGGGTGGTTTTATATTTTTCTTGTTGATTTGGGAATTTTATTTTTCTTTCTCAAGATAGGATGTCACTATGCTGCTTAGACTGGTTAAGATCCTCCAGCCTCAGCTTCCTAAGTAACTGGGATTATTTGTGCCTGCCCTGCCACATCAGGCATGTTTTAGTCCGATTTATTATAGTTTTGAACTCTGTTGTTGTCTTTTCTCTCCCAACCAATATTATCACTATATCTTTTAGTCTTTCTTAGGAAGATCACTTCCAAACTTAACATTTTTGTGCTCATACTTGTATTTGTTTTACCTGTGATGCTTAAAATCTCTTTTTGTATGAGGTAGAAGCTCTGTGTTTTCTTTCAGAATGCCAATTATGCCAGCATTATTCATTAAATAAGTATTTCCTCATCCATCTCATCCTATGTACTCATATCTATTCTGGATTCTATCCTACACCAATGATCTATTTGAGTTTTGTAGAAATTTTCAGTATCCAGTATCTTTCACAGTTTTCTTCCTTATGAACTTTAAACACATTTTATCTAGTTATAGGGAGTATGAGTACAGACGAATATTTAAACAAATATCATTCTTGATGCAGAACATAGTAGGGCTTTCCATTTGTTTTAGTATAATTTTATAGCCTCCATAAGATGTTTCCATTTTCTTAATACAGCTTCTGAATATTTTATTAAATTCATTCTAAAATAGTTTTATAATGTCTCACTATATGATATTTTTTCCATTCCCATTTATAATTTATTGTCATTTACCTATATTTCTCATGTCTTATAAATGGCAGATGTAATATCACAAACTCTACCAGCATGTATAACTATCTTTTAATTTTCATTCCAAATATGCTCTATAAATTTTCCCTTCCTTCTTCTTCCAATTTTCTACTAATACTCATACACATCAATGTATGAACACACATTTTTCAGAAATAAAAATTTGTATCCAACATACCTTTTCCTTTTGAAAGGTGACTTTGGCATATCAGCCACAGGGATCATTTGTTCTCCTGGACGTACCCACATAATGGGACCATCATCACTGTCTTTTCGACTCTCTAATTTTAGACTAGATAATGTCCCCCATGGCAATGTACACTAAAGACAATTATACAGAAATTATTTTTAAAATGTATCTTTAAATATGCATTTAAAAAATAGTTCTCCCTTCACAAAAACACATTCATATACAATTTAAACATCTGAAATACATATCCCTATATATTCATAATTTAACTTCAAAAGTTCAATTTCAAACATACCAAAAGAATATTTATGCTTGGATGGCTCTCTCCCCCTACCATGCCAGGGGTATGATTCAGTATATTCATAATTTGTTATTATTCTTTCGATAAACATATGGGTCATATGATTTTAAGTTGGAAAAATGAGCAAGTGCCCATTAGTCACCACACAGACTAAATATCTGCTTTTATAGATGAAGAGACCAAAGCCCTGAAAGTTTATGTGGTTTGCTCAACCCAGGTAGGTCTAGTCAAGGCTAAAACAAAGGTATACAATTTCCCTGGTCATTTTTTCACAATGTCAAACTTCCTACTATGGTTTAGATGTAAGGTGTCCCCCAAAAGCTCATGTGTGAGACAATGACCTTAGAAAGTTTAGAGGTGAAATGACTGGGTTCTGACAGCTTTAACTAAATCAGTGCATTAATGCTCTGATAGGGATTAACTGGATGGTAACTGTAAGCAGATAGGGTGTGACTGGAGGAGGTTGGTAACTGGGGGCATGCCCTTGGGATTTATATTTTGTCCAAAATGAGGGTCAATCTCAATATCTATCTATCTCTCTGTATAGATAGACAGATAGATAGATATAGATATATAAATTTAGAAAAACGCAGGTATACCAACTTTTGAATATAATTTCAGTGCTATTATAGATTGAATAATGAACTCTTATGTCCTAAGGAGATGTTGTAGTCAGTTCTCTAGAATTATTTTGTTTATCTGAACTGTTTCCATAAGCTGTGTATGGTAATATACTAAAACACTGTCATTCCTTTATCCTAGACATTTTAATTTAGTAATCATCCTTCCTGCATGTTTTAGTCAGCTTTTTCACTGCTATGACCAAAAGACCTGACAAGAACAATTAGAGGAGGAAAAGCTTATTCAGGGGTGCTAACAGTTTCAGAAGTCTCAGTGCACAGTCAGTCAACTATTCTTTGGAGACATAGCTGAGGCAGCACATGAAGGAGTTAGAGGTGACACAGGAAAGTGGCTGGAACATGGCTACCAAGAAGCAGAGAGAGAGAGCTCTGCTCAACAAGAACAAAATGTATACCCCAAAGGCATGCCCTTAGGGACCCACGTCTTCCAGCCACAACCCACTTGCCTACAGTTACCACCCAGTTAATCCCTATCAGGGGATTAAAGCACTAATTAAATTAAAACTCTCATAACCAAATCATTTCACCTCTAAACTTTCTTGCACTGTTTTATACATGAACTTTTGGGGGACACCAAATATCTAAACCATAACACTATACTTCTTAAATTCTTGGTACGTATTCTATAAAGTGGTAATAAACAGATGGAAACTAATTTTCTAAAGTGATTGTAACAGATAAAGTTATTTTCTGGTTCAACACTCAGCTTTGCCATTACAATTAGGACCTGAGAAGTTACATATATACACTATACAAGATCACTATTTTTCATTTCTTCCTTTCCTTCCCTCCAATTTAAATAAAACCAAATTTATATAAGCCTGAAATAGCCATTAATTTGTATCACCTGTAGTACAAAATTAACCACCACAATTTAAATTGATTAGATTATTTTCCCTTACTTTTAAAAATGGTGAGTCTTCCAACATGTCAAGAAATTCAGGGAAGTAATCTCCCACTTCTTCATCAACTGCTCCCACCAAGCTTATTTGTCGCATTGGACCAGCTCTGTAAGTACCATGAGAATATGTTCTTTTTACCTGAAGAATATGAATTTAATAACAAGTTACACATAAGATAATGCTTGCTATCAATGTGTAATAATAAATTATACTGTCTCAATGTTAAGAATATATGAAGCAAGAAAAGCAAAACAAAAAGCATTATTAACTAAAACAAATAGTTTATTTAATGTAAACCCTACATTAAACCTAGCTATTTTGTTCTCCAACTATTATTATACATAGCTTATGGCAACAGTTCAGATAAACAAAATAATTCTAGAGAACTGACTATAACATCTCTTTAGGACATAAGAGTTCATTATTCAATCTACAATAGCACTGAAATTATATTCAAAAGTTGATATACCTGCATTTTTCTAAATTTATTGCTCATATGTTATCAGATTTTAAGTTACCATCTGAAAAAGTTACAAAAACCATTACTAATGGTTTCTATGTCTAAAAAGTCGCAAGCGATGATCTTCTTATCTAGATCACAACATATTACTTTGCAGCCAGTTTGCATAATGTTAATTCCAATGAAAAACTGCTAGAAATTGAAAATCAAGAATCTCAAGCCCCAAACCTGCCTTTGCCAACTACCAGCTATGTTACCTTCAGACAAATAATTAGTTAAGTTCCCTGAGACTTAGTTTACTTAACTGGAAAGTTTTACCTCAGATTTACCCTAACCCTAACCCTAACCCTACTGAAGAAAAATGTAATAATTATATAAAGCCACCTGTCACAGTGCTAGCAAACTGCTGGCATTCAAACAGGCAAAATAAGGCAGCCTAAACCTCCAGATTCACTGATATGTGAATTTTCACAAGCATATTTGAATCCTGACAAACCCATGTGTTTTCATATATTAACACTAGTAAATAAGAGTAAAATTAATAATTAGAAAACCAATACTTATTAACAAATTTAATATTTCAGCCCTTATAAGAGTAAAATTTCTGTGTTTTAAGTGAAACTTTTTTTCAAAAAACAAACATTTGAGGGCAGGGGTGGAATATGGGCGATTAAACCCAGGAGTCTTTACCAGAGCCACATCCCTAGCCTTTTTATTTATTTTGAAGCAGGGTCTCCCTAAGTTGCTTAGGGCCTTACTAAGAAGCTGAGGCTAGCCTCAAACTTGAGATCCTTCTGCTTCAGCCTCTTGAGACACCTGAATTATAGGCATGCACCACTGTGCCCAGCTCAAAAACAAATTTGATGTGAAACCCTAATTATCTTCTTCTCCAAATTAATCTTTGTGGCCACTAAATTTAAGAGATCAACATGTCCCAGTTTACCAAGGATTAAGCCTATTTTAAAAGTCAAAGTCTTGTATCCCCAGCAAACTGGATGATCTACCTTTGTCACATTATGGACACACTGAAAAATCCTCACAATCACAGCTATTACAGTAACAATGCCCCAACATTCCTATCTCCAGAAACGTGGCAATAAAAAATTAATTTTAATAGAAAATTTTGACAATGATATTAGAGTATTTTATTTTTATCACAATTGACAAAGCAGTACAATAATAATTACATTAATGTCTTAAAAAGTTTACTAATAAGGAGGAGAGAGGCGAGGAGGGAAGGGAAAAGAAAACAAAAATGAAATCAAACAACTTATATTATAAAACACAAAATTTCCAAGGTTTTGAAATATAACACTTGACTTTTAAAAGGCAACTTAAGAAGGTAATAGTTCTACTTCACATAAATAAACTGTTTATCAACTTCCTTATCTTGTTTAAATCAAATATCTCATCTAAGTCACTAATTCAAAGAAAGCCAGAATCAAATAAACCATTGTCACTCAAGTAGCTCTTGATACTCATCACAGTATCAACAATGATCAATTAAATTATGTGAGCACTTTATCATGGGTGGGAGTGAGTAGCCTTGAGAATTTTTAGTGAGTGAATTCTTCTAAAATGCTAAACACAATTCAATTTACAAGCTCTCTAAAAAAACAGCTTTAAACACACCTTTAAAGTAAAACCAAATGGACTGTTATCAACTGGTCCTCTCTTCCAAGGGAGTATATATAGCAATTCAATACATGCAAACAACATGTATTGAACAATAAAGAATGCTTTCTGATGTGAGTGTTAGAAGAAATTTAGGGGTCAAAGATAATCCTCTAAAGAAACAAGTCTGAAATCAGAACAGTCAATGTATCTAGTATGTATAATGAGGTTATACATGAAATAATTCATTTCTCAAATAACTGACACAGTTGCATTCTACCCTAGGTATTGTCATGCAATTAAGATAACTATTTCTATTCTACCAAAAAAAATGCCATTATGAAACCATAGAAAAATAGAGGAAAAGCAAAATTAATAATCAGAAAACCAAAACTACTTATCAACAAATTTAATAGTCAGCCCTATTAAAAGTAAAATTTCTGTGTTTTAAATACAAGAATATGTATCACTGAGTAACAGAAAAAAAATTGGTAAAACACCTTGGGTGATAACAATATAAATGCAGGTGGAATTAAATGGACATCATAACCCTAAGTACATGTATGAAGACACAAGTGGTGTGACTCTACTTTGTGAACAACCAGAGACGTGAAAAATTGTGCTCTATATATGTACTATGAGTTGAAATGCATTCTGCTGTCATGTAAAACAAATTAAAATAAATAAATTTAAATATATATAAATGATATGTTCTGTCATAACTCAAGTGCTTTTATTAACTTATTTAATCAGATGTTCCTATTTGAAGTTAGAAGAGTTGTTTCATTACTCAGGAGACAGGGCAGAAGGGGGTCCCAAGTTTGAGGCCAGCCTTATCATTTGACAAGATCCTGTCTCAAAATAAAAAATAAAAAAAGAGCTAAGAATGTGGCTCAGCAGTAGAGTGCCCCTAGGTTCAATCCCTAGTACCACAAAAAATAAAAAGAATGATTGTTTCATTGATCAAAGGTACATAATGGACCTAGCCATCTCATTTCATTCAAATTATACACTTACATTAATATCCTCTCAAATTTACAAATGTTCCTTAAAAAAATACAATGAGTGCTGGGGTTGTGGCTCAATGGTAGAGCACTTGCCTAGCATTCGTGAGGCACTAGGTTCGATCCTCAGCACCACATATAAATAAATGAGTAAAATAAAGGTCCATCAACAATTTTAAAAAATATCTTTAAAAATACAATGAGGGGGGCTGTGGATGTGGCTCAAGTGGTAGCGCGCTTGCCTGACATGCATGCGGCCCGGGTTTGATCCTCAGCACCACATACAAACAAAGATATTGTGTCCTCCAAAAACTAAAAAATTAATATTAAAATTCTCTCTCTCTCTCTCTCAAAAAAAAAATACAATGAGGGGCTGGGGATATAGCTCAGCTGGCAGAGTGCTTGCCTCACATGCACAAGGTCCTGGGTTCAATCCCCACCACCCAAAAAAAAACAATAAAATACATATCTAAATTAGTATAGACCTAAACATTAAAAACTTTAACAGACTGAATAAAGTAGAACTTATTTTCCCCCTATCCTATGTTCGGTTTGGGACCACTTAAAAAGAAACTAATTTTTTTTTTTTTAAGAGAGAGAGAGAATTTTAATATTTATTTTTTTTTTAGTTTTCGGCAGACACAACATCTTTGTCTGTATATGGTGCTGAGGATCGAACCTGGGCCGCACACATGCCAGGCGAGTGCGCTACCACTTGAGCCACATCCCCAGCCCAAGAAACTAATTTTTGAGGCTTTTAAAATATGGTCTTCTTCAAATTCATAAATATTCCAAAGGATTTTGGGGAAAGCCTGAATTTTAAAAATAAAATAATGCAGATTTTATGAGAATTATATTCAGAAATATCCTAATAGAATTTTGGGGGTTAATTTTTTCCTAACTCATGGCAAATACATACATATTTATATACAAAGTTCACATGCACACTTAATGGTAGGTCTCTCTCCATCTTAACCAAATGTGTTAAAACTGTAAAGTAGATCCTTGTTACCCACGATTGAAACCCAAGGTAAAATCTTCTTAGGGAATTCCAAGGAAAAAAACTGCATTCTTAGCTATCATGTTTAAAACAAATAATAATTTTCTTTCAAGACATTTATTCTCCAAGTATTATACTCTAATAAACCAACTAGATACGTACAAATATATTTAAATTTTAAACTAAATTTGAGGCTGAGGCAGAAGATTATAGTTTGAGGTCAGCCTGGGCAATTTAGCAAAGACCATGTCTCAAAATAAACATTTTTAAAAGGGCTGGAAGTATAGCTCAGAGGTAGAACATTCCTGAGTTCAACTACCTAGTGCAAAAATTCTAAATTTAAAAATTATATTAAAAAAGAAACACACCAGATTATAAAAACTATACATATGGATCCTCTTATTAATTTAAGTATACATCTCTCAAAAAGAAACAGAAGACAGGCATGATACATTTGATATTTTTGCAAAAGCTTATATTTAAACAGTGCCTTTTAGAAAAGATGTGACATTTTTGTAGGGGCTACCAGGGATTGAACCCAGGGTACTTAACCACCAGCCACATCCCCAGCTCTTTTTTTATGTTTTATTTTGAGATAAGGCCTCACTAAATTGCTAAGGCTGGCCTTGAATTTAAAATCCTCCAGCCTCAGCCTTCTGAACTGCTGGGATTTGTGCCAACAAACCCAGAAAGATATAACATTTTTAATCTAAATCTTCCTATAGTCTATCCCACACCACCCAAAAATAAAAACTGCTACCATCACAGCTGCATTTTCACTTTTCTTTTCTATATTCTCTACAAATGTTACAAAAGATAGAAAAAGCAAGTAGGAGGCTTCTTGTATCCATTGCCAGTAAGTATCAATAACAAAATCTCATGAACTTAGTTAACAAAAAATGAATTAAATTATATTTAAACTAAAATTCTATTCACCATTCCTCACATAAAGTTATCTTTAAATTAAAAAGCAATCTTTACCTGGGCATGGTGGCACACGCCTGCAATTCAAGCTACTCAGGAGGCTGAGGCAGGATTGCAAATTCAAGGCCAGCCTGGG